ATATATATCTCCGTCTCTGCATGTATGGATCGATGATCAATTGCCACCATACACATACACACAATATTGTTTTACAAAAGATTCTATTTCATTCATAAACACCTGCATATTGTGGATGAACATTTGTAATCAGACTTTGTTGAAGGCAGCTGAAATACCTTCAGTCTTCAGTAATCAGGATAGTAGGTTGATGAACCTGTATTAATCCTGACACATTGCTTTCCAGTGAAGGTCCAGCTTCTCCTTGAAAATATTCATTGATGGGTTTGATACCACTTGTTCGAGTATGGCGTCCCAATTATTGACTACTCGATTAGAAAAACGGAACCCCACTTTAAGTTTATTAGATCGTGGTTTATGAACTTTCTTGCTATGACCTCGGAGATTATTAGTGCTGGAGGAAGCAAAAAAATAAGCATATTAACACCCAAATCAAAATTAAAGATACGAAATGCCAGTATAAGGTCACCTCGTGTCCTACGATACAACAAGGGGAAAGGATTTAGGCATCTTAAACGCTCATCGTAATAGAGTCTAGAAAGACCCTTCACTAATTTCGTTCCCACACGCTAGACACGCTCAAGTGAGTTAGTATTCGTTACCAGACACGGGCTAGCTGCTTGGATACAGTACTCTAAATGTGGTCTGACATACATGGAATATAAAATTCGAAACGTTTCCTCATCAAAAGATTTGAATGCTCGGCGAAGTGACCATAACGCACGAAAACCTTTGACAGCGGCTGCTTTGCAATTCGTAGTTGTTTTTAAATCATGACTTATTACTACTCCTAAGTCTTTATGCTCTTGAACGTATGGAAGAGGTTTACTTTCAATAGTGTAACGGTAACTATTACCGTGACCGATGTGCATTAGTACACTCTTCCTAGCATTGATTTCTAAGCCCCACTCTCGAGCCCATCTAACTAAATCGTCTAAGTCAGCTTGAAGATCCACATGATCGGCCGCACTTTTTATTGTTCTCCAGATTTTTACATCATCCGCAAACAATAATGTCGACGACCTAGGTAACAGCGGTAACACATTAACGTAGAGAAGGAAGAGCAGAGGGCCTAAGATGGTGCCTTGGGGTACACCACTTTTGACCGGCTTCCAATCGAATAGCGTTCCGTTGACCCTCGCTCTCTGTCTGCGGTCGCATAAGAAATTTCCTATCCACTCATGTACAGTACCTATTATTTGGAAGCTCGTGAGCTTCTGTATACGACCTACGTGTGAAACCTTGTCAAATGCTTTGCTAAAATCTATGAATATCACATCGACAGACAGACCGTTATCTAGGGCTGCTGTCCAATCCTCCCTCGCAGTAAACAAATTAGTCAAGCACGAACGCATGTTACGAAATCCGTGTTGCTCAGGAGCTAACAGATTGTGTAAATCTATGTGGCTTAGCAACCTAACCCGAATTATCTTTTCGAGTAACTTAACGACTATGCTAGTTAGACTGACAGGCCGGTAGTTAAATGCTATCTGTCGCTGACCGTCCTTAAATATAGGACTAACTATAGTGTCCTTCCAACCTCTAGGGAGTTGAGCAAGTGAAAGGGACATGTTGAAGAGGTTCGCCAGCGGTTTTGAGATAATGTCCGCAAGGGATGACAGCAACCGTGGATGTAACCCGTCAGGGCCCGGTATCTTACCAGGTTTGAGGTTAGTTATCAACGGAAGGACAGTTTCCTCAGTCAACTGTACAGATTCAATGGTTGGTATCTCGGTGTGAGTGGGACAAGTATTTGTTACAATAAACGTAGAGAAGACTTCGCTAAAGTAGTCTGAAAAAGTCTCAGCTTTTGCTCGATCTGATTCAGCTAGTAATTCTGAATTTTCGTGTAACAGTAACGGAGGAATACTATCACTACGTTTCATTTGCCGTTTAACATACGAAAACAATCGTTTCGAACAAGTACGGCTATCATATACTAACTGTCGTTCGTAAGTGGCACGAGATTTGGCTATGGTTTTCTTACATATATTACGGAAGTTTTGGTACTCATGCTTAAATGATGCATGGCTTGTCAAAAAGAATAAGTCCCAGAAAATTTTCGTACGCTTTAAGAGCTTCCGGGTTTCTTTATTAATCCATGGAGGGCAATGTGATAGCTTACGTGCTGACCATGGGATAAACGGCGACGTTACAGACTCAAATGTAGCCTTAAACTTATTCCATTCATTTTTGATCAATCCATCCGCTTCGACCGACCAATCAGTCGAGATAGCACAGTTTCTGATTGCCGGAATATTGGCTCGCCAGATATTGGGACGGGGTGGTGTATACCATGTGTCCTAAACTTAAAATGAATTACGACGAGATCACTGTTCACTAGTGGGGGAAGTTGCTGAATATCAAAGACATTCTCACAGTGGTGGGTGAGGGCGAGGTCCAGCAGTGACGGATCATGATTGAATCAATCTGTGACGGTTTTGTGATACATTGCTCAAGTGCACAGTGAATAACGGTAGATAAAAGGTCGCTATCGAAACCACTACCTGGAGCTGTAAGCTCTATCCAGTTGATATGCGGTGCATTGAAGTTCCCAATGATGAGACAACATTCTGCCATACTCCAAGAACAGTTGTGTCTTAGGATAAAGTCGTCAGCAAGACAAAACGGAGTACGGTATATTCCCCCTATAGTCACTAATCTATTTCTAGATCTAATCTTACAACATGCAACCTCACACGTGCCACTGATATGAGCCTCCAATATGGTTGATTGTATACAAAAGTGTTCTCTAACGTATAATATTACACCTCCCCCTTTGCGACTTGAAACTCTATCACTTCTAATACAGAAATAGCCTGCAATGAAAGGAGGACAATCTATATCTACTGTGAACCAAGTTTCTGTAACAACGATTATATCGGGACATAATTCTTCCACCATTAGACTTAGGTCGGACGTTTTATTCCTAAGACTACGAGCGTTCATGTAGCACACACTTAAGGTGTTTTGGCAATAAGTCGTTCTACCCATACAGGCCTCGGAAGCATTGGCTTCCAAGACCTGACTACCCGAAAACCCTTAATGGTAAGGTTATTTAATTTGCGAGTCCTCAACTCCGTAGGAGCATTCTTCCACTTGATTCGATCCTCAAGCGGCCAATCTGGTCGAATATGGATACTTGAGTCACAAGTTTTTAGTGCGTTTTTCAATAATATGTCTCTTTCTTCAAAACTCGCGAGAACGAGCTTCAGGATTCTTCTTGGTTGGGTCTCGCCTCCAACCCATTTACCAAGTCGTATTACTTTTGTAATATGTACCCCTGAAACCTCTTCAGGTAGTATATTTCTTACCACAGACTCCATTAACTGCAGGTCATGTGCATGTCTTCTAGCAGGGTCGTTGTCTTTCGACTCCTCTAAATTCCGAATAATTAAACTAGGTAGGGGTCTAGGTTCTTTTGAAACTGTGTTCACAGCTTTCCACCTGGACGTTAGATCCTGTATATTAACTACTGGTATCTTGCGATTAGTTTTTATTGTTACACAGTCCTGAGAGTCGAGCGAGTGACTCACAACAATGTTAGACGAAGCTTTACCACGGGACTTTGGCGGATTGGTCTGAGAGTCCACCAAGGACTTATCAAGTAAAGAGTCATTAGTTTTAGCTGTCTTTCCTCTCCTGCGTTTTCGCGTCTATCATTTTCCATCAGTCGAAACGTCTACATTAGAACAACTCGGGACAGTAATTGTCTAATCTGGATCACTAGTCGCAGCTGTAGCACTATGGCCACCAACGTCTAATGAGGTGTCACTCACGGATCGTTTCGGGGGAGAACGTTTTCAGTGGCTCGTGGATCTGACTCCCATTAGATCGTATGGATGTTTGCTATCGCCTATTCTCGTACATCATCGTCGACTTTAATCATGTTAATCAATAACGGAATTAAATAAGTCAAGTAACGAGAATGGGATTTTCAATACATATATTTTGTATATGAGGTGAATGGAATGGAAGGAAGAGAAGCGACGCAGAGTAAAGATGGCTGGTAAGCCAACTCATTTTTAGTCAGGCGTTAGCCAATATTTATAGGCAGATAAAAATAAACTACAGACATGTGGTGAGTCATAGGATATGAAGTGTGCACACATATACACTCATGTAAAAACAGTCAAGGCTAATAAGCGAATAATTAACAAGGTCAAAATATGACTCAGGTAGAATGAATAGAATGGTTTGTCCGAAAGCTAGATTAAGGTATATGGGCTTAAAATAATGACTGACACAACACATTTAACTGCGGGTTGCACAGGTAGATGTCTGGCTTGCGCCGTTACAGCACTTACGACACTAACGCAATCTTCGCCATCAGTACCAACGTTACCAGTACGGCCCTCATCAACCTTCTTATCAGTCAACATCAGGAGGATAATTGCTTTCTGGATGAGTAATGTTTTGCTCGAGCAACAAAAACTACAAAGCCAATGAGGGTCGTGCTTTGAGCATCTTTTATATGCAGTGGGGCTTAGTCGGGTGAACATCTTATGGAACCACTTATTACACTCATCACATTGCATCCCTTCCTCCACGGGAAATAAGCAATATGACTGTCCACATTTATGAGCAGGTTTAGCCATCTTGAAAATCAACTAGAACGGTGACAAAAACAGGATATGTAAAAGGATTCTTCAACCATAACTAAACAAATCAAGTAAAGGTCGACCAACTATGCTTCGATGCAATAAATACCCAAAAGCAAAATCTAAACACTCAATACAATATCACTTTAACTGGGGTAGACGCAATTAAAGTGTAAACAGTAGTTTTGATGTGTAATTTACGATCAAAACAATTAATTAACTCAACGAGAAACAATACCTATCATTAACAAGATGAATAAATCAGTAAATTTGAGTTCATTATGCAAGTATTTCATATAGGAAATTTATTTCCCAAACTAGAAACCGGTTCATTGTTTCACGGTGCATGTCAGACATTGTTTGCGTTGCTGAATGTGGTACTGCGGTACTCTTGAAATCACACATGTGTTGCACGTTGTGGACCTAACGGGTTTAGTTTAGGTAGTAAGTTTGTTGTTTGTTTGTTTTTTAAACTAGTTTAACAGGTTTGGAGTGAATTTTACTGCATGCCTACAGCAAGTAGGCTGGTTGTATACTCTACTTGTGCTGTTACTTTGATATATTTGCTTCATTGTTATCGAAAAAGACGTAAGCATAGAGCGGCAATCAGTACCAACCCGATAAAAATTATTGAACATCCTGTATCTTCGTCACAATCAAACGTCAGTGGTACGAAGTTCAACGAGGAATCTTTTGTTATTCAAGTAGTTACAAATTTAGGCTTACCGTTGTTAGGATTTACTTAGTGACATTGAATATAACGATCCACTTACCATTCTCACAGCCTCTTTTGTTAAGGTACCTCTAAAATTCTATTTTGATGTACAGACAAAATTTACTGACGAACGTTTAGTAGCCTTAAAAGAACAGAACTTGGAATTGGAAAGTATTTCTTTTTTGGAATCACTGCTGCCAGTAGCGTCAACTTTTTCCGACATAGCACCCGCATTGTTAGCAATGGCAACCAGTCAAGCAGTAGTTTCTACCTTGAACAATAGTTCTGTCTCGGGATCCGAGTCTGATCGAGCACTGACGCCCGACTCCAATTGTGACTTTTGTGGAATTACCCTTCCACCTGAAGGTTTCAGTGACCCTTCGAATGACATTTATGAAGCTAATCCCGAAGAGTTGGATGGCAAAATTTTGCCAAGAGTGCTCATTCCTAGTGATATGTGGGCTCAGGTCGTTGATAGAGATATCTGGCACGAGACATTTTTAATACCTGCCTACATGGGTGGCGTTTTGATTGGGCGGCTAGGAAAGTGAGTCTTCTATATTTTTATCATATCCCTTCAGGAATGTTAGAGAGCTGCGAAATGTATGGGAGGCCGAATTCAGTTTAAATACTTGCCCAGGAAAACAAGACACTCTGATCTTCAAATTATCATGCCCGCTTAGACACAAAAATGATGTACTACGCTGGGTATCCCATCGATTCAGAATGAGACCTTCCAAGACAACAATTGGCAACCCAAACCAACTAAAGGTTAGTATTTTTTCAGAATGTAATCGATAAATTTAGCGTCAACTTCCTCTAGGTGAACCGGTTCCGGTGCAGATTCGTAGTCTTTATGGTTCAAAGGAATTGTTCGTAACAGTACCGGACGAAGAGTACAGTAACTATCTAGTTATGCAGGAAGAGCTTGAAAAAGATTACTCAACCAACAACAATTACCGTATGCAACTTTGCGAACCCGTGACATCAGGGACAGTTGCTGTAGTTCCACATAGTCAGGGATTTGCAAGGGCGCTTATAATTAGTGTTTATCCTACCTGGCCGAAGGTAGCGTTCTACTACTTGCTAGACCATGGGACATTCGGTATTGTGCAGTTAAATAAATTAAGAAAAATCAGGTTAGTCGTATTTATTTACAGAGTTTAAGTTAAAAGAATCTTTCCTTTTAAGATTGTTTCATGACAATATAAATAAATTTGCTTGAAAAATCCTGTAAATCTTACCTGTATCAAATATTTATGAATTTCTATTTATTGCATCAATTGTTCTGTCTTCCAGTGGTATCTGTTTAATAATCCTCTTACGTAAGTGTGAACCTAGTGCATCAACATCCACTTATTGTTGGATGCTATATTGCTGCTTAAATAAAAGCGCATTGAGCGGTGTTTGAACAACCGAATATTCAAAAATTAGGTGTCTTAATAACTAGACCGCGCCGTGATCGCAATCTATATGTTTACTCTACTTAAATTTTTGGAATTTACTGTTCATGAATGGCGTAGTAAAGTAAGCAACTGAATATTATGATTTTCATTGTTTATCATCCAAAAAACAATGTTCATTTATTCATCAAGTAGATTCCTTAGATTTTACTGCTTATGATAAACGAGGAGTTCTACAAACTAAGTACATTCAGGCTGTCGAAATACCGTACAGACTATTCTTCCGTAAACTTTTCTATAAAATGTTGGGGCTCTTACGAATTTAGAATTTAAGTGGGTTGTTAGTAAAGCGACGTGGTTGGACTTTCCTTCACACAAATAACAGTTCTATTTTTCATTCCAGATTTTCTGTTGTGGACTGTAATCATCTACTCTTTTGCCTGGTTTGTGATGAGACTATTGATTTCAAATGGCCAATCACAATCCAATGGTATACATACTAATATCTGTTGCTTACAGACACTTGAGATAGCAGCCTCAAAGTAACAAATGGTTAGATATTTGTTGACGTCACTGATATAATCACAACCTCCGCATCACGGTTATAACCGTTAGACACCCTCAGTGAAATTAGTGTCCAGCCGTTTATGTAGGTCTTATACGAATACACCGTATCATATTTTCCTCTTTAGAACCTTATTAAGATTTTTTGACTTGTTAGCTGTGGCGTATATACTAGGAAAAGGTTAGCGTTCCGCTTCGGTAATCCATTTGGTTTGCTAAATGACCTACGCGTCGAATTAAGTTATATGCACTGAAATACTGAATGTCATTAAAAACTGCGTAACTAGCTCACAAGTATCTAAACTGCTGATTCAGAAATCACATTTTGCTTAGTTGATTAAGAATGGTGGTAAAGTAGTTTGTGTTTACTAGGCTTATCGATCAAGTCTAGAGTAAACATTAATTGTGAATTTTTTGGTTGTTAAATGTTTTACGGACAATCAAGTACTTTAGTCTACGGGAATTCTATCTATACGTTAAATGCTCAGGATTAGTAACGTATTAATGTTCTCGTTTAACCGAATTGGCCCATTTTTCATCATAAATTGTTCACAGAACAACATGGAACACAAACTAATTTAACTATGACAAGTTCTTAATCCATATTTTCATCTGTTTGACATGAATAACCAAACGGGAATTGAATTCCATTTTACTAAAAAAATTTTCCTAGTCTCATGTTGGCCCCATGTGATCCTCATAGTTATTTATAGCATTTACATATTTGTCGCAACGTGATTAAATTATTTGTTTTTAAATCCTATGTTTAGTGATTTCACAAATGTGGCTTAGGATTAAGTGTTGTTTACCTGACTTATTTATTTGTAATTTTGTGCATTAAATCCCTTAGTACTCTTAAATATTTTCTTTTATATATATTCGTTTATGATAAAGTCATAATTCTTCATGTTTGTCTACATCTTTGTAGGGCTAAATATATGAAGGTTCCTTATCAAGCGATTCATGTTAGCTGGGCCCACGCATTCCCTGTTTATTCGGATATTCCTGATTTACACATACTTCGAACATTCTTTAATAGTGGTCGCGTTCATGCATTTGCTGTACGTATGGAGACGTGTTGCCGAGCTTCTGTGGCATTCGGCGAACCATATTCACAACCATACTCATCTCATGGATTTCTCGATATTCTAGTCAATGCTTGTAACAGTGGACTGTTTATAGCTGTTCCTCTTCTAATTTATCCCAAACGACAATCTTGGTTAAATGGTTCGTCGATTCCGTATTATCCGTTTACATACAGTTACATCGATTATCAGTCATTAGTGACTTTTGCTGTTGAGGAAGATGACCAAGTGACCATAGATCATTCATCTTCCCATAATCGAAATCCGAGTGAAGATTATATTTGTCCATCCAAACATCAGAATGGCAATCAAAAAAAGTTCAATAAATCAAGCGATAATTACTACCGCTCACAGCCTTGTGGCCAGCGTCGTGGACTGAGAGGATCTGCAACAGTCAGCAATACTGGGAATCGTCGACAAAATCCATATGGACCAAATCGTTTGCAAAATGGCCCTCTGTTTGCTACTTCTCAGAAAGAAAACCAATTTACATCGGTTAGTGAGAATACTATTGCATTAAAATCCACATCTAGTGGAAATGAGCAATTTGGCAGAAGTCAACTACGAAAACCGTTATCAAATCGTAATAATAGTGTAAGTAGTTCCAGGACTGTCTCATCGAATTCTGGACGAGCGGCTACATTTAGTAGCCATGAATAATAATTCGGATTATTTCATCTTGTCTCCTAATGTTCTTGCTCTTCACATAAGCTTCTTGCAGAATTTTATGTTTGGTGCTTTTGTCACTGTATATTCATTTTTAATCTGTGCCTTCTGTCACCCATGTTTTCCTGACATTTTTTAGTTTTTGTTTTTCGTACTTGCGCACATATTACTCACTATAATGGGACTTGAACTTCCCTACTTATTTAGTCCATATGATTTAAAATTCAAGTATTCATATGTTCTCTTATATTTTTGTTGAGTTCCTATCATTTTATTTACTTTCCGGTATAATTTTTCTGTCCATGCTGTGCTTAACTAGAGCAATTGTTTTTCCTCGACAAATGTAATGTTTATCGATTAACCAAGGCGAATAAAGATGTTAAACTAATCTATTTTCATCGGTACACACAAATGGGCGACGTTTTGTTACTAAAAAGTTGTTTCAAGTAAGTGGGACACGCCCTACGCATATCTGACCACCTCCATCCGCGAATAATTTGTCGTACGAATTGTTTGTACGAAAGCTAGAGGTGGATAAACCGAAACGTGGTATCAAACCATAAAACTACTGGTTGCTTATCCAGGTTTTGTAGGTAGATACAAACCATCATGTTGACCCCAGGGCGATTATCATGACGCGAATGTGGTTCTTTCTCTTGATCTTAGAGTTTGAAATTATGTTTTTTATTCTGCGATTTTATCCTCGAACGATATTTTCCGCACTTTTACAACTGAGTACTACTAATATAGTATTATTGATAAGTTTACCTCTCTGTTGATAGGGTATGACACCTGTCCTCAGTTTTGGGATGCCTGTGTCAACAATATGGTAAGGTTCGATGGTGATTCATTCAGATATGCTGTCTTGAAACATTTGATATTGTTTACCGTTAAGTGACATGTAATTTGCCCATTGCTCATTATTTAACGTTAATTCACTAGCATATTCAATTGGTAAGTACTTTTAAAGATGGTGTACCGAAATATGATCAAAGCTTTATTTTACAGTTGTATGTTGGCGAACCATCCTTCATTGAAAACATTTATAAAAAGTAATTCTGGATAGTCGTAATTTGAAAACATGTTAAAAAAACGTACTCATATCGCACGACTGGTGTTGAACATTCCTTAATGTAACAAAACTTATAGTATTGGATGGGGTGATATTGTTGTTATTACTTGATTGGTATTTTTTTCTCTGCTGCCTCATCAAGATTTGGCTAACTGGTTCACGGGTTGGAACCATCCAGATATAAGTAGTGTTATCAGCATCCACACTGAATGTAGATTTAAGCTTAGTCAGCAAACCTAGAGTTAATCACCAAGTAGATGCTCCACATTGGAATTACTGATATATCGTCTGAATTGTATGTATGTAGTCTAAAAGCACATTTTAGTATACCTGGTAATTAGATCGGTTATTCTTTTAGTAAAAGCACTCTAACAATTAAGCAAATTGGTCCGAATCCGTTTTAGATGAGCTATGGTGAACGAGAACACAAGTGGGGACAACGAAATGCATTTTGATACGATATTACAGAATATCTTGGTAAAATCTGACAACCACACAGTAATACTTCATTTGCAAAATATCCATCAATTGTCTTAGACTTTGTTGCTCCGTTTCCATATCAATCACTCTGCTCTTGTTCTCTTCAATTTTCTCAACCATCTGCCTTTAGGCATATCACTTTCGATCAGTGGTACGTACTACTTATATTTGCCGTTATCAGTAGCACACACCACGAAGCCACTACAATAGCTCACACTGTTAATGTCTTTTAGTATAGTCCTGGGAATCGTGCTGTTAGTAATGAGCACTATTCGTCGTATTTTCAGTTAGCATGAATAACAAGCCATCAGGTAACAAAACATACTATCTCTTAGATGATTGGTAATTGTGATTCTTCATATTTTTATAATCTTGAATTATTTCATATTTTTCAATTTTAATGGCTATTTTTTACTAATTACTTGACTTCTGTCCGATCTACGTCCAATATTATTCCTATGGTAACCTCTCGTTTTGAACATTTAAAATTCAACAGGGATTTTTATTTGTTTTTCTGTCCGTTATTTCCGGCACATGCTAATGCAGCTCTTGTCAAGCGGTCAGATGTTCACTCCACTTGCTTCTCGATTGCTATTTTGACAGTTAAGTCCCAAATGTAACCCTATTGTGACTATGTGATTCATCACTTACTCCAGTCCTGGTATCTTTTTATTCAAAGCTTTTCATTCTACTTTCTCAAACTATATTTCAAATCCTTGGTCGTTCTCACTATCATACCAATCAATTATTTTGACTTTCATCTGTTCGTTTTGTGCTCATCTAGTATGGAAACATGAAATTATGCATATTTGTACCAGGCTCTGCATTGCTTATTACTGATAATTTAAACATTGAACGAAGTGAATGTCACTGCCTTGGTTCTTTGACATAAAGTCAGTATTTTTTTAAACTATTCTTAATCAATCGGCTACAATGTAGAATAAATTAGTCTTGGTTTTCTCTATTCAAAATAACCTGTTTAAATTGTCTAAACTAAGGTCAGAGGTCTATAACTTTAATATCATGGTTAGATAAAGTTTGCAGAGTTGATATTTAGAAAGTAAATTGATGTAGATTTCCGAAAAGTAGTAGCTGAATCTTTCTAAAGTCAAGAAATTATACAGCAACGGTTAATTCGATCGTTCAGTTAATATTCAAATTAGTGAGGCTACGTCATATCAAGCTTCAAGTGGAATTAAAGTGAACTACTCTTAATGACCAAAAATGATTAATTTCTATCATTTTATTTTGACTCCGTATCCATGAATTCAGTGCTAGTAATGAAAACAAAGGTACATCTTGTAGATTTGAAACTCGGGAACATTACTGTTTAGTTGTTTGAACTACTTAAATTTGTTTTTCGTGGTAAACCATGAAATATGAGCCATGACCTATTTGATCACGTAGTCATTCATTGCTTCGGACTAGTTTTTGTTTATCTCATATTATCATTCCACTCGTGCTTGCTTTATTAATTAATAATAAGTGATAGGTTAGATTTTTGGATATCCAAGCGCTTACAAATACAGAAAATCTAGTATAATATATTTTTTTAACCCCACTTCAGATAGCACTTAACTGTCTAGACTTATTTTATTTCGGGTTTAAATTTCCATTTATGATAATTTCTTGACAGGCATGTCAAGTAAACTGTGTCTGAGTAGACAGAATACATGTATTTACCTCTTCGTTCGATTCAAGAAACTAGAAGGTTCCTCCGTTATTCAAGGATCAAATCCCAATATTACTTGAATTGTATCCATACCTATATGTAATGCATCGTATTTCCTGTTTACACAACTCTGTATGGGCTAACGAACTAGAGCCTAGATTTCCTTTTATTCTCAAATTTTCCAAATAATCAGTTTATAAGAAAATTACTTGATAGATAGGGTTATAGCATCTTAACCAATTGACCGGTTGATGTTCAAATAACTATTGGATATTTTATCATAAACCTACTGTTGTTTTATTTAGGTTTATATTTTACCGTCGTAAATCAAATCATTAGATAATTATTCAACTGAGTATTAAAAAGAGTTGTTCACCAAATGTTTATTTTTCCATTGTGATCATACTTGTATTCAAATTACGTATTGATAAACAACAGCTTTAAACCATGTGCCTGAGTTAATTAGGTAAAAATGTATTTTTGCATTTTCTTTCAGTAAGGTTAAGAAATACTCATTTTTAAGTAATTTCTATTCGGTTAGGATTAGATTATCTTCAATACTATCTACAGAAAGACATGTTAATAATTTACTTTCTCAACATCCTATTGAGCCATGGATATCCATGGGAAGTTTCTTGTATAACTGAGTCGTCATTCGAAGTTATTTCAAGCTATCTATCATTTTATCAACGATGTAGTATGGCGATAGTGAAATATGCTAGAAGGAAAATGTACAGGTTAGTAACAAACTAAAAGCCAAAAGTAATATAATTCTAAAGTCCCAATGAGTAGGAAAATGAAATTTTCTGACGTCTCGTGACTCAGTTGAAGCCATTTCTTCAGAGAACGAAAAATTCCTACAAACTAAAAAACGTCTACAACAGAACCGTTTAGATGAAGGAGAATGGCACAAAATTAAATAGTTTACATTTAGTAGTATTGTGAAGTTATTATTTAAGACTGTAACTAAATCAATGTCCGATAAAGCAGAACAGATCATCTTATTTTACATGAAAAACATGTCACTGGTGAAAAGTAAACTACTGGAATCATTTGAAATTGACGTAAATCACTAATCAAATGGCATAGCAATAGACAGAAAAACTCAAATATGATGGAACAATGCAAAAAGCGCTACACATTTAGAGCGGTGATAGCTAGTTTCTCCTTCATTTGTATAAACAGGAAGTAACAGTTAGATATTATGACTGACATGGATAGCTTTAAACATAAATTGTACTGGGATATGACAGATACCTACATAGAGAAAATTCAATGGATGCCAGAGAACATTTAGAAGGTTGGTATTAAGGTTAGTTTGCATTTAATAGACAATTCTAGGTCAGAAAAGAAACAAGGTGATGATCAGTGGTAGCACATTCACCGGTGACAACAATATGACATGGATTTTTCATAGTGTATTCAAGGTTTGCGCTCTTTATTATTTTTTCTGGAAAAGTATTAGAAGAGTCATGATTAGAACGTTGATTCAAAGTAAAAAAAATAATAAAATCACTCATCAAAATCGAAAACCGCCATATTTAAATGAAATTTCGAATAATATTTGGAGGAATATGTTGAATTTAGTAAGCTCTTGTTTTCAGTTCGGGATTGTAGTGCTTGTGAAATTCCATCGAAATCATGAACCGAACCAGCGAGAAGCCTTGACCGGTGGAGCTACTCAGTGTCAGCTGTGAAACAGTTACCGGAGACAATGGAAGGTGGTCACGCATTGTCGTGGATTAGTTGAATTTGGATACTATAATCGTTGTATGCCGTCTTGGTGGTTTGGAGGTTAAGAGTTTGTGCATGAAACCGTAGGTCCTGGGTTTGATTTTTGCGTACGGGACTGTAGATACTTACCGTTGAGAAGTCCTATACTGGGACGAAATGGCCGTTCAATGCTTTCAGGTTTTCTATATTGATCTAACGTTGATCGATCCATGATCTCAATAAAGCTCTAGTTTTATTATTTTGCTTTGATGGAGTTTCTGGTTTGTCAAAATTTCGGGTCATTTCTTTTCACTTTCAGATTTTCATATTTATACTTTATTTTACACCAACAATTTCCATTCAGGGTAGATGTAAACCTATCAACAATTTCATTATATTTTCCTACTACTTTTCCTTTAAATCATAGATACTTTATCATATAGTGTACTTTTTCCAGTATCTATCCTTCTA